ATTGGACTCTTCTTTCCTAGGATAACACTGGATAAAGTTCCAATCATTCTCAAAGCTCCCTCCTTTGCAATGTGGTTCTTCTGTCCCTCTCCCGCAGCCTCGTATTCGTTGACAATCGAGTTGACAAATGTAAGAATGGTGAAAGTGTGCTTTCTGCGAACTTTGGTGAGTGTGATCAAGAAGTTGGTTGCGGCATTGTCTGGTGCTGAGACCTCTTCGTAAAAGTTCAATTTGTGGTGTAAATATTCCTCTGGGTCGGTTTCGAATTTCTCAACATCGTCGGGCGATAGACACATAACAGGGAAAAGGAAATGGGTGACAAGGCTATCGAGATGTGGTTTCAAATGAGCCCACATTTGCTTTGGTCGAACACACTCATCAAGGAAAACCAAGGTATAAGAAAGACAAGGTCTGCTGAGCCATGTTGTCTTTGCGACCCATTTTTCAATCTGCTGAAGGTAACCTTTGAGAATCTCGGGTGCGAAATTGGCTGTGAAACTTTTTGCGAATGCGGCATAATCGTCTCCGTTGCCCTTCGACAAAGATGTGGGGTTGCCATAGCTAAAGAAATGTTAGTGAAATGGTATTCAGCTACATGCAAATTACTCACCGAACATAGAGTCTGTTCAAATTGAAGTATGACCATTTCTTGGCCTTCCACCAATGGTTGGCCTCTCTCTCAGCTTCATCCTCAGGTAAAGCGGTAGCTGGAACATCTTTTGCGACTGTTTGAAGGAACAAAGTGCACCATCCGACTACTACCGTATGTTCGCGCAATGAGGCAGATAAGTCGAACTATTATTGTCAGCACTTTATCAATATTCAAAAAATAAGCACAAGTACATACAAATGTTGCATGTTTGTATGCCTTGAGAACAATATGAAGCATTTCTCCCGCCTCTTCGCTCATCTCATTGACCAAACCCTGTCCGATTGTCAAAAGCCTTGGGAATGTGGCTTCCACGATTGCGTCGAAATCTGCGCGATTCTCCCCCGATTTGAAACGGAAAACCCGGCAGATTGCGAGGAGACATTGTAAACCTGCGAATATCGATGCTGCATCGTTTGTGTTCAATAATTGAACAGTCATTTCTATAAAGGAAGGCCATCTATCTGGGAAATCATAGTGTAAAATCTTTTGAAGGACTGGTACAAGTTGTTGTCGAATTTGTGGTGGGGAGGAAGCAATGAAAGGTAGGAGTCGGTCTCGAAATCTAGCCTTCTCATCGTCGGCCATCGGCTTGGGCTGGGTTTCGCTCGGTAGCCATGCTCTCGTAACGCGATTCTTAAGGTAGACAACCGCTGCAATGTAGCGTTAGTATTTGCCAACAGCGGGGTATGTATTGCGAAGGAGTTTGCATACTTGATAACCGAACTGCAGGATTTTGTTCTGCTTGTAATATATCGAGAAGAGCATCGGTGAATCCAGGATGTTCCTCTGCCTGTTAAATATTTGTTAGAGGTGGAAGGAAATAAAATTTGCTAGGAATGCTTACTGATTTCAAGTCCAGTTCAGCGCGCCGACGAGTATCAGCATCTGGATCAAGTGTCGAAGCAATACGACCTCGCAAGACGGCAACATCCATCTTTGCGTATCTATTGAAAATAACTCAATAAAATAATTTGGGGGTTTTGTCCTGGATTCGGAGAACCGCAAAAACTTGAGCACTTCAAGAATTCGAGGAAGTTTTGTCGTGTCAATATATTTTGTGGTTCCCCCAAATTCGCCTAGCTGAAAAAAGCAAGCGAATGAAAAAAAGTTCCTTGTAAGGAAGTATTAAGTGCAAGTGTGTGAGTGAATGGTTTTTGGGTCTGCCAATTGCTTGATCATTCAAGTTTGAATCTTGGAATTGGAAAGCTTCAATAGTCTCTAGGTAATTCACTTGTTGATTTTGATTCAAGGTTCCTCTCTCTCTCTTGACAAGTTTCTTCAGAAGACGCTTAACAACCTTCTTTCAACTCTTTTTTGATTTCCACAATCATATAGAAATTATTAAGTCTGAAATCTCTCTTGTATTGTTGGGGGCCAGGGGAGAGGGAGAATGTGAGTCCTAGGTAAGGCACAGAAGAAGACAGAACCAACAGTACGTGATGTCTGGGGATGCTGCAGAATCTCAAGGCAGTATTATGTTACACGGGGGAGGAAAGACACAGGGGAGGAAAGAGAGAATCCAGATATACGCAAAGCAGACTGGGATTGTGTTGGTCTCCGCACACTTTATGATCCTTATCAGAGGGCTTTGGCCTACAAAGAGGGGAAGATAAAAAAATCTTAAGACCCCTCCTTAAGCGCCTACCAGTTATTTCATCATCAATCAGTGAGGGTGGGATGTTGATCTACAAGTGAACTGTTTGGTTTGGTCTGGTTTGGTCTGGTTTGGTCTGGCATGGGAAGTCTGGAGAATATTGAACACACGATATGTGAGGTGGGAAGGTATGTAATAAGAAGAGCACCTAGTAGAGGTACCTACCTCTCTTTAGAAGACAGACAGAATCAAGATATATCTTTTCACAAGAATCAAATAGAAACTCTATCTCTTTCCAAAAAATTCATTATCATTAGCTTGTCTACGAGACAACGGTTTGCTAGAAATCTTACTAATGCACTCTCTGCCAATCCAACATTGTTTGAAGTGGATCTCCAACGAAAATTATTTATTGATCTGAATTATGCAATGAGAAGGAGGGAGCATTATCTGGGCAACTTCCCTTCAATTGTTTCTTCACTTTGATCCTTTTGTTAATATACATCTAGTTGGAAATCACATCGACATGGAATACCTACGTTCTACAAGAGCAGAAGGGGCAGCTTGGGGTGGGTATATGGATAGTCCAACAAGTATCGGGCATTCCAGAAACATCAATCACTGACTGGTCTATCAATCAATGAATGGTCTTCAGACATCGCAGTTGCCGAGATTGCCTCAAACAATTTGTTGGATCGACAGACTGATTGATTTTTTCGGCAAACCTTTATGAATGTATTCACGAAATCTGCTACCTCGTTCCCATTGAAATAGTCTGCCTCCACGGCAGTGGCTCCCAGAGAGCCAGCGGAGCGTCTCCATTGATTATTACATGGAAATTTGGAAGCATCTCAGATATTGAAATAAGTCCAGTTTCTCGATCTAGGACAGCACGTGAAATATGTCCCGAGCCACACGCACCCAAATCCCACGTGTGAATCGTTCTAATCTAATTCCAATGCCGAGATGGTCTGAGCTTCTTCTAGCCTTATCGCCTTATCACATGTACTTAAATGGCTACGCTACTACGAAGTAGAAACAGTATATTCTCAGAGAGCTTCAATTTGAGCCTTGTAATTAACAATACCTGAACCATCTGACGATCAAAAAGGAAGACTACTATATCCACGTCTATTCTATAAATATCTGTTGTGCTGATCTACTTGTCATGCCGATCTTCGAATAGTAGTTTATTACCATTTTCCGAAATTTTTATACCAGCGTTCGACAATCACACCTGATAGCAATTTCATAACTTCTTTCCCTTGTTCCTCTAAATTTCTTCAGAGATTATCTCGCACGAAACATGTTCACCACCCTCTGTGGGAAAGAGATATATCCACTATGCATGCAGTATCTTCGAAATGGTACGCACTACATCCATCCTCACTACAAGGTATTCAAGTCACAGATTTGAATGTAGCTGCGGCTTCAGTATCAAGATCAAAAATATTATAGATTCGCTTTCTATGCAATCGCCACCCAGTTGTATGCTCGGACTTCAACGAGGCAAGGAACCTGACAGATTATTCATGTAAATGTGATCTGCTTGCTTACCCTCAACGTCATTAGTGTTGATTCTGATCCTAAGGGACTCGATGCTAGTGGACTCATGTTGAAACCTATCATCACATTTTCTCCACCGACGATGTCAATAAGATAATACGTTGTTCCACAATGTTTCTAACATCTGTAGATCAGTTACTTCAATCATACACCTAACCATATCTTTACTAGGAGAATATTGAGCTGGAAAGAGCCCCATTTGCCCAAAACCCGAGATGTGTTTATGTGGAATGTCGTTTGGCTTCGAAGCGAAAGGTATCTGAAACCGGTATGAGGAATCACTCATGCAAGGACTCTGGCATACTTGTGTTAAGAACCGGCTGTCAGAAACGAACTTTGGCTGGCTGAGTATGGTACTTGTCAATAGACTTCCATATACCGCCCTTCCCTCCAGAGATAAAGAATTCACAATCCTTTTAGAAATTCGACACCCAGGTGTAAGAGGTCTTGATCTACGGATCCATATTTCAACCTAAATTCTAAATACAATCCGAAAAGTTTCGACTTATATTTGGTATCAGATAACTGCTGAACCCCATTTATGCAAATATATGTTAAGTGTAACATTTAGTCGGCGTTCATGTAATCTAACGAGGCATTTGTGGAGGAACATCTGATTCATATACACTCCCATGTGGCGTTATGGATACGAATCTGCAGCCAAGATCTTCACCACATCTCACTCCACAGATTTATGAATGGGTTTATCTTTTATCCATGCATTTTGAAACTTCAAACTGCCAATATCTCATGACATCACATGGCTCAGAAAGTTTCGAGATTTTCCTCATTAAAAAATGCTGCAAGTCAGTACCCCTTGCAGCAAGTGACACAGAGTATACATGTTGAGGTTGCCTACTTTTTATTCTTAATAAATTAGACGAGGCCCTTCTGTTCGGTCAAGTAGCCAAGACATGTTTTACCTCGTATCCCCACAAGTTGGAGTCTACCGTCTGACAATTGTAACGCTGCACGCTTTTTGCCTGAAGATTGCTTTAGGTTATGATTAACCCCGCAGTTTCTTCGTATGTGAAAAAGGGCTGAATTGTAGTATACGGGGTGCTGCGATGAGGGGTGAGGGAAGATATAAAGTTATGGAATATTCTTGTTGAAAGAAAGGTTTTAGTTTTTGGATAACTGAAACGGTGTTGGCTTGTAAGAGCTTTATTACAAAAATTAATGATTACCATGGCGAAACCAAACTCATTGAATAATTTGATCTGTTTCCTTTTCTTTTGGTAGGTTCTTCCTTAACGTTGTTCGCACTTAGTCAACTGATAGCATAACTTGCCAGTGTCCTTCATCTAGCTAAAGCTTCCAAACCATCTACGATACAAACGGTCACAGTCAACCCATGCACCCTCACTCCAACCGTTCCTACATATGCCTCTCCTTCAACACCTTGCCCAACTATCACCATCTCCACTTCTCATACCTCCTGTCCACCAGTAAGTTCATCTTCTAACCCATATACCTTTACTCACCTGGGCATTCAAAACAATTCTCCCCTCTTTCCCATAAAAGTTCTGGTTTCGCTCATACAAATCATCTCCAGACGACTCCAACATCCTGCTCCCAGAATTTCTGCATCTCAGATGCCTTTATAACAGTTCCCTGCACCTGTCCCTACTCCGTACCAACAACCACGCTCTACACCCCGTGTCCCTCGGCCTGTTCGCAAACTTGTCACATCGGACATCAAATCTACCATGAAACATCCTGTTCCAGCACAACCCCCACCCCCATAATCGACCCCCCGCCAACATCTCTCACCATTCCAACGGGTGGCTCAACCATCTGTTCCTGTCCTTACTATCCTCCCTACCCAACTTATTGCAATCCGCCCTGTCCAGTCCACACCCCCAGCTCTACCCCAAGCATCACCACTCAAACCCTCCCCACTACAACCCCCAACCTCGTCACCTGCTCCTGTCCCTACTATCCCCCCTACCCTACAAACTGCATCTTCCCCTGTCCAATCCACACCCCCACCACCGTCATCACCGTCCCGACACTCACAACCATCACCCCAAGTATCACCCCAAGTATCACCTCAACTATCACCCCAACCCCTAGCTGCGAAAGTATCACGGTTACGAAAGGAGATTCGTGTGCGTCGGTTGTTGGGGGCCCGTGTTCGAGTCCTGATGTGAGTTTTTTTTCCTTCTCTTTTTGGGGACTAGATTTGAGGGTTGGATTTGGAAATTGGGGGAATTGGGAATTGGGGTGGATTGGGGAAATGAAGTAGAGAGGAGAGAGGAGAGAAGTGGATTTTGGTTGTTGGATGGGAGAAGAAGAAGAAGAAGAAGGAGAAGAAGAAGAAGAAGAAGAAGAAGAAGAAGAAGAAGAAGAAGAAGAAGAAGAAGAAGAAGAAGAAGAAGAAGAAGAAGAAGAAGAAGAGACTAACCGTGTAATTAAATAGTGTATATATCTCTCTACCGTCACGATAAACTGTGGATGTGGTGGTTCGATTGGGACGGTGACTAGTGAGTATTCTTTTATTTTGGGGGGTTTTTCTGATTTTTGATTTTGATTTTGATTTTGATTACTCTTGTATTCTACACTTTTCTTCCGCTCTTTTGTTACTATTTTCCTGGGCTTCTTTCCTTCTTTTTTTTCACACCCCCCTTCCCTTTCTCTTCTCTTTCTCTATACTTACCCTTCTTTTATAATCCCTCTGCTCTTCTCCCTTTTCTCTCCTCTCCTATACATCTATCCACCAACCCACCCACCATACTCCCCCCCAAAACCTCCCATACTCCCCCCAAAACTCCCCCCCCCCCCCCAAAAAAGAAAAAACTAACAAAAAATTCAAAACCAATAGGTTGCAAAACAACGTGTGATAACGGGGCGTGTGGGACTGAGTGGCGGACGCTTGCATTGCCTTGTCCGACGACTCCGATGGTGTTTTGATGAGGGGGGTGTGACGCGAGAGGGAGGAGGGAGAGAGGGAGGAGGAGAGGGAGGAGGAGAGGGAGGAGGAGAGGGAGGAGGAGAGGGAGGAGGAGAGGGAGGAGGAGAGGGAGGAGGAGAAGAGGGAAGGGGAGGAAAAACAAAAAGAAAGAGCAAGAGCAAGAGCAAGAGCAAGAACAAGAGCAAGAGCAAGAGCAAGAACAAGAACAAGAACAAGAACAAGAACAAGAACAAGAACAAGAACAAGAACAAGAGCAAGAACAAGAATAAACGGAACAGAAGGGGAAGGGAGGGTGATCAGAACCATGAAATGACACGAAGAAGGAATTTTAAATTCTGATGAATCGAAATGAATCTACTCATTCTGATTTGATTATATGAATTTATTTATTCATTAATCCTATGACCTCGGGATTGATTGATTGATTGATTGATTGATCGCTAGCCTAGCTAGTAGATAAACAATATAATATAATCTATTTGAATTTCCGCTGGTAGCCTTCGCCTGCTACAATATATATAACCTTATTCGTTTATCTGGATTCTGCTTTTTAGACTCCTTTTTCTATTTTCTACTAGTGCTTTATGATCATATCTGTGTGTCATATCATATTCGTGGATTTCATTATTTCCAAATTTCGCCTGGATACCTAATCATAGCATATGCGCTTAACGACGCAATAATGTAGATATAGATATAATGTCATCACTCCTCTTCCTCTTCCGAACTAACTTCCTTCCCATTCGCAATAGCTTCCTCTCTAATTCTCTTCGCCCTCTCTCTCTTCTTATCCAATATCTTCTTCAACCCCTTTGCCACATTAAAAACACCACTAGTTCCCGCCCCACAAGCCGCACAACTCGGATCTTTCCTATATCTCTTCAACGCACAGCTCTCACAGAAATAATGTCCACACTTTGTAACAATCGGATCCTTATATTTCTCCCTACACAATATGCACGCAAAGGGTATATTCTCCAAAAACGCATCATCTTCCTCCTCTTCCTCATCTCCTTTGCGATCCGCACTTGCGATTTTCGTTCCTCCTAAAGTTTTCTTCCCTTTCGTCACATTCTCCCATTCTTTATCGAGTTGCCAGCCTGCTTTATAGTCTTCTCGCGCGTGGAGATATTTGCAATTATCTCCGAACCCGCAAAATCCAGTTGTTTTGTAATCTTTACATACGTCTGGCGCAAAATCTGTGACGGTTATAGTGCGGATATTGGTTGGTGCTTTGACTGGTCCTACGACGCGATTCGGGGCGTCAGGATTCTTTTGTATGAATTTTGTGCTGTTTGCTAAGCCCTTGTATGTTCCATCTGGGATATCTCCGGTGGAGGGTTTCGAGCGCGAGGTGCCTAGAAGATTCTTGGCAGAAAGAGCATCTGTCGCATTTTCATCATACCAATTACTAGCTCTAGTTGCATCGTCAGAGGCGCGGATAACAGTGCTGTGAGATGCGGTATATTTTGTTGCGGAGAGATCGGAGGGAGTGGATGAGGTATTATTTGTAGATGATGCGGTGATGGCGCCGGTGTTCTTCTTCCTTCGTTTTATTCGTCGGTCACTTTCATCTTCTGATGAAGAATATCCTGATGTATCATCGTCGCTGTCTGCAGGTGGTGGCGTTGCAGCTCTTTTGCGGAAATTGGATTTCCCTTTTGCTGATCTCTTTTTGAATATAGCTACTGGTTGTGGAGGATTTGGAGGAGCTGCAGAAGGTTCGGCGTTATCCATTGTTTGTTTTCTAAAATGTGTTGAGCTTTGATGAAGTTAATTGATGGTTCGATGATGAAGTTAGTTGATGAGGTCAATGGATGAAGTCAATTGATGGACCAGTTGATGATGTCCGTTATTTTTGAGTGATGAGTGATGAGTGTGAGTTTGTCTGTTTGTCTGTTTATCTATCTACGAAAGGCTGAGAAATTAAGAAAAGTCCAAGCTGGAGCTTATCAAGCTAAGATATTAGGTAATCAGCCTTATCCGTGTGTAGCCTCAGGCATGATTTGTAAGACCTCGGGAAGCTTTGGAATCTTCTACTTGACTTGGGAGTTCCTGGTGTTCCCGCTAATAAGAGCCAAGGATCGATTTGATAGATCAATGATAGATGTTCTTCAAGTCCGATCCTAGACGATAGACGATGGATCCTGGATGCCATCGAATGGTAACTTGCCTTGCAAGAGTGTCGGCCCGTCGCTAGATTGATTTTGTGAGATTAAGCCATTCTCCTCGAGTTGATACAAGGGAGTAGCTTGCAATAAGGTATAACTTTCTTTTTCATCCCAAGTATTTGCGTGCCATCCTTCGTAACATCACTCCGAACAACATGGAATCTTATTAGAATATTATGCAAACTTTGATGCAAGTCTTTCCGATAGTTGACACTTCCCCCTCTCTACCTAGTTCAGGTACACTTTGTTTGGTCGATGAGTCTTCTTCGTTGCTATTTTGATTTTGGATACGCGTTGTTTATCTTCACGCCAATCAATATACTTGGATTGCTTTGTTGTTCCTGACATTGTGGTGTTGTCCATGTGCTTATGAACAGCATAAGTGGAAACATACACGTAAAGAAGAGTGGCTGCTGCGATAGGAAGTTCATTATTCCACTGGATATATGAGGCTGTTGACAACAATCGATTGGCAATATCTGGGTATGTGATTGGTTGAGATGGGTAGAATGGGTGGATGAAGTGGTGAAGTGGTGAAGTGGTTATGAATGGATGATGAATGGATGATGAATGAATGAATGAATGAATACCAATACTTACCGACTATCTATGATACTATCTACTACCTACCCACCTCCCTCCCTATGGTAGCTTGAATCATCCCTCGTAAATAAATACAAAAGAAAAGAAAGAAAATAAACAAATGCATAAACATAAAACAACGCTAGAAATATCTGGGAACCTCCTACCTGGGTCATCTTCTAACTAAATTCACGCAAGACTTATTTATTAGACTTCTCTCTACTCTTGGATCCTTGACCGTCATGAGTTTGGACTCTGGATTGAAGTGAAGCGAGAAGAACTTGTGAACTTGACTTGAACCTCTCTCATCCCTCCCCCCCTCGAACCACCAACATTCAACCGGGAGAGAGAGAGAGAGAGAGACAGAGAGACAGAGAGAAACAGAGAAAGAGAGAGCCTCCAAGTTATATTCTCCCCTCTCTCTGTTGTGATCTTTCGTGTTCATACAACACAGTCCACTCATTCTTTTCCTACTTAATTAATTGTTCCCCTTCTTTTCCACTTCCTCCTCTTCATCCAGTCCCAAGATACCTTTATTTAAACTTCTTCCATACTGATCGCTTTGACTATTTTTCTTCAACTGCTATCCGTACCATTGAATCCAAGCTACCAATAAAAGATTTAAAGTTACTGGATTCGCTGCATTTGCTGGATTTACTGCACATTTACCACTTTAGTCGCGTCAAGATAAGCAAAGAAAAGAAACCCCCCGATATTCTGTACCCAGGCGGTTCATATCCGTACGGCACCGATCATATATCAACACGCGAACCTCTTGCCCCTGGCTTCCCCAAGATTGCTCAAGTTCCCCGATCAACAAATCGAAGATCGGACTAAACTGGTTCAACATACAACATACAACATACAATCTACTCCTGCTACTTCTACTTCTACTTCTACTCCTACTTATACAACTCCAAAACACCCTACCTGTCGTACAACCCCATTTATTCTCGTCGGACACATTATTCTTGGTACCGCATTTGTTTCCTCCGATCTACGAATACGAATTAGTCCGGTGCTTTTCGAGGGGCCCCAAGTCCTACCTGGGCGCAGAGGGTTTCTCAATCTACAAGACTTGTCTTTAATTCAGATTTATTCTCTCCCTTCTCACGCATTAAAATTGCGGTCACCATAATGTCGACGTCTTTGGCAATGGATCACCCGTCAATACTGTCCGACGCTGGAGATAGTAGCAGTAGCAATGATCCATTCTTGTCTCCTCCTTCGGTCTTGAGCGGCCACCGTTTTTCTCATTTCGATAAACAACTATTTGCGCTTGGCCCTTCAACATCTCCTGAACAGGCCAAACGGGCACTAGAAGCACATCTTGCAGAGACGGAACGAAGAATCCAGGAGGCTTCAAACCTCGGTACAACCCTTTTACAACAGAGAAAAGATTTGGGAGAGCGCTTGAAGGAAGTCGAGAAACAGCAGAGCGAAGGAGATATTACACCAGAGTTGCGACAGAAATTGGTTGATATTGAGAGAGAATATAATGAAGTTGGAAGGGAGACAGCTAGAGCTTTCTTACCAAAGTCAAGAGTACCCAGCAGCGAGATGGGATCATCACCTTTTACTGATAAGGTATAGATAGATTCATGGTTACATCAAATTTACCATTACTAACACAATGTAGCGTTCCGCAAGCCCTTCCAAATTCGAAAGTCATACAACTGCTACTGCGTCTCCTTCCAAATTCAGTGTTCCCAGTCGAAAGCAGCGAAATCAACCTGCAAATAGGGTACACGATATCGAATTCGCGACAGAAATTAGTACCTCACTATTAGCACAAGTGCGGCATCTACAATCACTTCTAGCAGAGAAGGAAGAATCTCTCAAGACTGTTGCTCTCGAAAAGTCTAGGTTGGAAATCGAAGCTGAAGGTTTTACTCAACGTTTGAGGAGTCTTGATGAGAGCGAAAATAGATACAAGGATGAGAATTGGAACCTAGAAACGCAAATCCATGAACATTTGGCTACGCAGAAAGAGGCATCAGAACGCGAAAAGAGGTTAACACAGAGTTTAAGTCTCTTACAAGCCGAAAAGAGCGCAACGCAAAAGGAATTGGACGAGATCAAGTTAAATCATGCGAAACTCCAAGATCAACACACATCCACAGTAAAGCATCTCGATGTGGAACTGGGAACTGCTAAGCGAAGCTTGACGATCTTCGAAACCGAAAAGGGGGCTCTTCAGAAGAAGGTGGAAGAATTGATGGGCCAAAATTCAGAGCTCGCGCGAG